GGGACTTTTCTATCTAGATTGTAATTGTTTTTAAAACTTGCCTCGGATTTATGTGTTATACTATTGTGGATTTCGGATGGCGAACAAATGTTTTTCTTTAATGGATTTGTTGTATGTTTTAAAATATTTCCGTTGTGTATCATTTTAAAAAAGTTTTAAATTTTCTATATTTTTCTATTATGAATACGTTAATTGTATTTGTCCATATGGCACGACTCATTAACGGGATACGGGTAACGGTTGTTATAATGATTCTCTACATGACTAGTAATGTGCATGAACAACGCTGTTATAACCATCCGGTTAAATACGATGTTTGATACAATCAAAACACACTATTTCTCATGTTGGATATCGTATATATCTCAAGTATTAGGGTTCAAAAGTGAACCATTATATGAGATTCAAGTTCTAATTCATGTTCATATGACAATCTCATTCGGATTATCCAATCACTTGTTGTTCCAACATGACCGTGATCTTTATATAATATATATGATCATGTCATGATCATCCATGATGCCCTCATACTAGTCTTAAATTATCATCATTCGCACGATGATAATCGACTAGGAAATTTGAGATCGTTTAAAACGAGAGTCAGATAGAGAATTATCATAATATTAGAAGAACAGAGTTAGTTTCGTGAGACTCCTAATTCTTTTTTTCACGTCCAAACATTATCGAGATCTTCTCTAAAAACCAAATATTTAATGTTCTACCCGCTTCTAAAAAAAGACTTCTGACGATTATTTCTTATTAAACAAAGAAAGTAGGGTTAGAGAACCCTCATAGCCAATAGTCCTTCTTGGACCTCAATATATACACATTCATTAGTATATCTACACATTATATATATATATATAGTCATAAATTATAAGTAAATGAAGAAAATTAATATATATATTAAATTAAATTATATAATTAATTAATTAAAAAATATTAACATATATCAATATGTTATATATACTAACTCAAATCCTTCGGTGTAAAGTTATTTTTTATTTAAATATAATTCTCACGGTTTTCTGAATATGATTCAAGATTTTGAGCATGTAATATTTAATTCGAAATATGGATCATAACATATTACTTAAGGACACTGATAAGACCTTCCGAAATAGAATGACGATTTTTCGCAAGACTCTACAGATCTTTGCTAGATAGTTCGAAATTTTGTTTATGGTTTTCGCACTTGTATTAATTTTCCTCGTTGGTCTATAGTTTGTTGTCTTTTATTTTTTAAGAGTTCGAATTCGATCATGTGTGAACACATGTCATCTACTTTTGTATATGTTTTTATATGGATAAATATATTCAACCTTTAAAAAATAACAATAACAACAACAACGCCTCGTTTCCAAATTCATTTGGGGTCGGCAAAAGTTAATTTATGGTCATATAAAATTGATTTCGATACAAAAATTAATTTAATAGTATTTTTTAAAAATGCAAAAGATTATAAAAACCAGATAAGAGTCTATTTAAATATAAAATTAAAAGAAAAAATGAATAAAAAATAAAATATTTTAAAAATATACTTTTTTTCGTTGAAAACCGAAATGAATAAAATACAAATTGTATCCAAAATCTGACATAAAAAATCAATATTTTGAATATAAAATACCTAAATTAATATAGATACTAAATCTTAAATATTTATACAAAATTGTTAAAAGTAATATTCTTATTTGAAAATAATATTTATTAAAATCAACTTCAGCTGCCTTGGCCTCATGTTCCAAAATATTTTATGCATACAAATGGTCTAGTTGAACATGTATGCATGTATGTAAATGTATATGCGCGTGCACGATTAAGAGGAATATTCCTACTCTTTTGCTTATTTTATATTCATATATATATATATACCTTTTTTGTGTGAATCCAAAAATACTTTACACAAATTTTTTCTTTTCCCTTTTTATGGAAAATAAATACCTTAGAATTCCTGGGATTTGCTTGTTAAACAACTCGAATAATGACAGATAAACTCGTAAAACTTTTTCATTTAACTCAAACATATTCATGAGCCATGAATATAACAACAAAAACAATGAGAAACCAAAAAAATCCACTTAATATTAGAAACTGTGTCATCTGTGTTTGATTATGTTATTGTTCACATTTATTCATGGAAGTCATTTCCTTTGATTTGAAGACAAATACTGCAAAAGGCAAGCATCAAAATGTTCAAAGGAGCTAACATTTGAAAAGAGTTTTGTTTCACAAAAATGTAAATCAAACCTAGAGTAGTCCATCCCTTAAAATGTTCATAGAAAGCTCTTGTCATAAGACCCGAGATCGTGGTTTGCCTCACAAACCCTAAATGGTAACCCTCCGAGTCAATTGAGTTTTCGGATGTACTTGCAATAAAACTTTTACCTTATATCATCCCCTAAAGTTGTAGGAATATTCCAAAGTTGATGTAGAGATGAACCCTTTTGCGTCTTGTTTCGGTATATGAACATGGAGACGTATTACAAATCGTTTCCAAATTCTATACATACAAGACATAGAATAATTGAACTGTATGTTAAGGTTAAGATCTAATGCTATTTTTAATGACTTTTTTTTTCTATCGTTATAGTACTTTTATATATTAAAAAAAAAACAAAAGTGTGGAACTTGCTTGTGTTCTTGTTGCCAAAGGTTGCTAAAATGTATGAACAAAACCAGAAAATCTTCATATATAAACTATTAGCAGTGAAGATGGTGGCTCGTGGCTTTGGTTGCTCAGATTGGCGAATTAACATTTAAAGATAACAAGAAGAGTAAGTCATAGAAGTCAGTTATTTATGTTTCGGTTTCCTATAATAGTTTTTTTTTATAATCGAGATGTTCACCTTGGCCTTCGGCCCAAACTACATCTCCTCAAACCGGGGAGCAGCCTTTAGAGTAAGGGTTCAGAGAGCAACACTCTACCTCTCCCTCCCTATCAACTGGTTTCGAACTGATGACTAGGACCCAGAGAACAACACCCTTTCGCCACTCGGTCATCCACTGATAGGTTTTCTATAATAGTTGTTGTTGTGGTTTAACTTTCTATGTAAGAATTTGTATTGTGTAAATATGTATTTAAATATTGTAATAAAAGCATGCTTACAAGATATCAAAATCTGTAAAACTGCCCTCAACTCTTTTCATTTCCGAAACAGAGTACATTGATCAATTTAAAAAACAAAATCAATCAAGGAAAGAAACAAGGATCAAAATGTATATCGGTCAAGGATCAAACACATATCAAAACCCATATATGCCAATGTAACATTAAAGTTTTTTTTCACACGTTGTGCATAGTTTAAGAAAGTTATGTAATGATTTACAGAAATTCCATGAGATTCTCAAAGAATATTGTACAATGGGGGAGTGGAAAACACTTAACACAAGTGGCATTGTGACTCAGATTTCGCATATTTTGCTTCACACTTTTCCTTTGTGATGCTTGAAATCTCATTGCAAATCGTTCAGCATCGGGTCGTTTAAGTACACAAATAGGTGGTAGTAGAGATATAGAAATGTTGCAAGTGGGTATTCAGTGTGCATCAAGTCACATTGATATGTATATATATATAATAAAAAAAATGGAAAAGCCATTAAGCAAGAGGAGCAAAAAACACTAAGTATAAAGAGGGGATTGAATGAACAAACAAAAATTTCGAATTTAGATAATAAAAAAATTTCAACTATTTGACTTGTCTCTGAGATACAATATTTATTATGAAAAAAAAATCGATCTTATGAAAGATGTAGTTGAATCGAATGTTCACTAAACTTACGAATTATAAAAAAAATCAAAAATTCATATATAAATTAACATTCGAATATTGGTGAATTATTTATGTGAAAATTATCTTGATATCATATTTTCGTTTATGCTACTAAAATGGTTATAGAACCAAGTAATATACTTTGAGATTCAAAACATTTGGTTTCGAATTCAAATATCCAAAAAAATTTGGATATCCAACTTGTGTCCTTCCTAATAACATAACAAGCGAGATCAAAATTTGAAATAAGTGGTGCAGGGGATTCCCTTTGAACGAGGATGACTCAGCATAAATAAGGATTTACTTGCATTAGATCTTAACCTTAACATACAGTTCAATTATTCTATGTCTTGTATGTATAGAATTTGGAAACGATTTGTAGTACGTCTCCATGTTCATATACCGAAACAAGACGCAAAAGGGTTCATCTCTACATCAACTTTGGAATATTCCTACAACTTTAGGGGATGATATAAGGTAAAAGTTTTATTGCAAGTACATCCGAAAACTCAATTGACTCGGGGATTCCTATTTACCTTATTCTAAAACTGCGTCCGTCTGATCTCAGCATAAATAAGGATTTTTTCTTTAATCCCCTTTTGATCAAATGAATCATTCATACAATAAAAGTACAGTGTTTCACATCTTGCCCTAACACCATACGTATTCTTCAATCTGGAGTTAAATTATAAATTACCTCTACGGCCCTTTTCAACTGATGCCCGAATCTGTTTGTTTTCCGTTTGGTTTTATTGGGTTTGATCATATCGTTGACTAACGAGGTTTCTCTCTTTCGGGCATTTCATCGAACAGTTTACGAGCGCATCATCATCTTCCCTTGATCTGCAACCCTAATCACCACAAGGCAAGAGTATAATCACCAGTAAAGATCAATCATCAATCCGAAAACACGCAAACATTTTGACTAGACCTCCGGCTTTCGCAAACCCACTAACCATCACACTCGAAGAAGCCGAATCCCTAACATGGCCACAAATTTTTCTAACGTCGAAGATGTCTCTGCAACTAAGAATCGCCGGAGATGTAAACCCTAAACCCTAGTGTAAAACGGAGAGAGAGGGGGGTGTGTGTGTGACGTGAGATTCGGACAGGTTTAGGGCTTTTGTTTGTGGGTGCGAAATCACTGGGTTTGTTTGCATCACCTGAAGGACAAGTGAAAATCTTCACCTTCAAAATGTTATGACGGTTAATCTTTCAGATTCCTCAACATGAAAACCCTGAATCAATTCCAAGTGATGAAATATTGATCTTAAATCATAATACATTACACAATATGTCACGTAAAATCCGGGACAACAACAAGACAAAAATCACAGACAGACACTAGTGGTGTTTACTGTCAGAATCCAACATCAAACTACTTCCCACTTTTTTGGAAACTGCCTCTGTCCTAATCCCAAGATTGGGATTATTCTGATCCCTTCCACCACAAAAAAAAGAGAGCAGAATCCAACCTTTCTTTCTATCTGAATTTCCAGTGTATACAGATAATAGTGATGCTGATACACATGTACTGGCTTTTATGCAACTTTTCCAGGCCAAGATCATGGAACAGAGGGTGTGTTCCTATTCCTAGTTGATCTGTGAGAGAGGAGACCGTGTCAGCTGCGATGGCTTTTGTTCCTTGGCATCAACAAATGATTCATACGAGTTGTTCTCACGGAATTCTACGAGCAATTCCTCCATTGGCATCGCTCTTAGTGATTCAATGGTGGCTTTGCTTGGAACTTCAGGTTCAGCCCTTGTCGGTGTTGTTCCAGTGGGTTCATATTCCTGAGATTCAACAATGAAGCGGTAAAAACATAAAAGTAATGAAGTTGAAAACACTGTAGAATGCAACGAGAACATGTTATAGCAATCCAATAACATGTGTAACTACATCGGACAGATTTTCTAATAATCTATGTTTGAATCACCGTTCATGTTATGATGAGAGTGAGAATCCAAGACAGAACTCACCATGTATCTTTGTTGGAAAGTTTCTTGTGCCTTATCCTCAATGGACACAGTTTGGCAAGAATGATCATGTCTGAAACTTTCCAGGGCCTCTTCATGAGCTCTGACTGTTTCGAAGATTTGGGATACAGAGCCTTGTTGATCTTTTGACACGCCTGAAGCAAAGATCATCGAAACGAATGAAATTAAGAAACGAAGCGTTTATTGTGATGAACAGAAAAATCATATGCCATTTTGAGAGAAGACTCACAATCGATATCCTGGATTATCTCATCGCTGTTCTTGGATACGTCTTGCTCAGCTGCAACCCTTGCAGAGTCCACTTCAGCATCATGCTGCTCATTACTATCACAAGCCATCCTGGCGTAAAGATTTAAATAAAAGTTTATATCGGGTGGCATAATGCCATAACACCATATAATCAGGGAAAAGAACGATGCTCATAATTACAATGCATTGCAGAATAATATCTCAGCTATTTGAAACATGATTGAAGCAATTCTAATGAGCAAAAGCCAGATCTACATAAATATATCTGAAAATATAACCCACTTACGTAACAAGCGAGGAGATTTCTGAAACGTGCTTACTGCTCATCACTTTCACAGATTCATGAGTTATGTTGCAGTGTGTCAAAGCAGATTCTGCGTGACTCACACTAAGGAATAAAGGGACAAAAAGAGAGATCAGACTGAAGAACCAAATGATTATAACACAAGAAACTGTGGAGTATAGCTTATCTTACGATTGCTGAAGCAGTAATTCCATACGACAATGCTTTGCAGCAGAATAATCAGCACCTTCCTTGGCATCATTCTCAGCCTGCATCGAAAATATCTCCCATTTTCTTTTTGCATCAGTAGCCAAATTGCTTAAAGCTGAGACATGTCCATCCATGAAATTTTTGTTGGAAGAGACGGTCTCTCTGAGGTTAAGGAGCCTTGAATCCACCTGTCAAGGAAAACAATATATAGCTCTTTATTTGCATCTTAGGGTGGAAAAAAGAGCAAGAGAGAGAAGCATCAACTAACCAGTTCATTTTGACGACGAATGTGATTGGAAACTAGATTAGTTAACTCGGCTATTAGTGCCTCTCCATCAGATTTTGACTGAGCCTGCACAGAATATGTCCATTGATGATGGGCACAAAGGATTCAATCCAAAAAAGGAAACATGTACAAGAATCGTAACCTGGTAAGCCTTCTGAAAATCGATAATGCTTTTTATTTGAGTTTCATCCGCCTGTATGGCATGATCCTCAGCACTCTTAGACTCTTCCATAAGCTTCTGGAAAAACGTCTTTGTATACTCGGCCACCTCGTGAGTTTTTTCAATCGTTACCTGGAACTTCTGTATATTCAGGAACAAGGGGAAAACAATCAGATATTGATACTATTGAACTTAATGTTTATATATTGAAACACTGACTTGTCTCAGTTCTCTAGCAAAAAGAGCCATTTCACCCTGGTGAGATGAAAGAGCACTCTGCAGTTCGTCAAACAACGTTGATGCTACCCCATCCTCTGATGCAAGAAACTGAAATCCAGGTGTATAAGAACTTGTTACCAGTTCAACAAGGAAGATGATGGTATTTTATGCTACGCTAAAAATGATGATAATAATAATAAACACCACAATAAGAAATGAAAAATACTACTCCACCTACCTCTTCTATAGAATGCGCATTTGAATTTGTCAAAGCTGAAACTTCATCGAGGCAAGCATTCGAGCTTGCCTTATGCAAGCGAACTACATTCTGCACTGCCTCCATGTGAGAACTATATAAAGCCCTTGAAGCTGTAACCTTCTTTTTCATTTCTAAGGCAGCCTGCACAAAACAATTTTGTAAAGAAAAATTACCAGCTAAAGATTTACTGAAACATGTAAAACATCAACATCAACTTTTACTGAAACATGTAAAAGGTTGACCAAAATTGTATGCTCACAGAACTGATTTGTTTAGACAAGAAATTTATTAGTGCACTTCAAATGATCAAAGGAAGAAACTATTTAATACCTTATTGTGTGCCGCTAGAAGAGAATGGCACAGTTTCTCGACACCCTGAAGGTGTACATTTTGTTGTGAAAGGCATGAAGCAACCGTTGTGCACAGATTTCCAATCTGTTCAGATAGTTCCACTTGGTAATTGTTGACCACTTTTCTATTATCAGTACTGAGTTTGTCCTCTCGTCCTATACAGTAAAAATCAAGATCACAAATCATCGATGTTTATGATACCGTACGCATAAGACAACCAAAAAATGCATACCAATTTTTTGGTATAGCAAAGCATTGTCCTTGATAGCTTTCTCCAAGTTGGATTGCAAAACACAAGCTTGCTGAACCAATTCATTTTCTGAAAGACATAAGGAACATTTTAACGAGAAGCGCCACCACTTTGTCAAGTAGCTTAGTTCAGAAATGTCAACAGTACCGGATTTTTTCTGCTCTGATATAATAAAATCTTTCTCCTTCATGGCATACTGGCATTTCTTCAATTCCTCCTCAGTGGTAGCAAGCAATTTGCATGTTTGGTTTAAGGTTTTCTAATATACACAATAGCAGGGTCAGAGAGTATTAAACTTATAAAGCATTAAATCAGTGGAAAGGAAATGGAGAACACCTCAGTGTTATTAAGGTTGTTGGTCAGATCAGAGCACTGTTGAACTTGAGCTACATATTTGTCCTGTAACTCCTCAAGTTGCTACAGTCACAAAAACATATAAACAATTCAGTTCACAAGACATTTGTAGCATTCCTACAACCTAAAAGGGAAAAAAAATGTGCATTTTTATCTCTTAAGGGGCAAAAAAACTAACCTTTTGATAATTCTCAATCTGGATGCCCATTTGCTCAATCTGCTCTGCCATGGCCTAACGATATCACAAAACCGACATTAAAAGCAGAAGAATTAGGACAGGAAAAAGTTCTCCGTTTAGGCCAATAAGCTGGAGACGGCATTCGATCTATCATGTGCGATATGATGACAACTTAAATACCTTTCTTTCACTTTCCTCCTGATAGTACCTCTCCTTTGGGATATAAACACCATTTTTCTCACGTGCGGCATAAACCTCTACACATGCAAGCAAGAAATACGACCGTAATTTTATTATGTGGATCAATTGAAAGTACTATATTATTCCACCTTATACTCTTACCTCCCATAAAAATGAGAGAGCAATTTACCTGCCTTAAGTCGTTCTATCTCACCATAAAGGTCCTTTATTAGAGTAGATTTCATCATTTTCTGGTTAACCTGCACCAGCGCGCAGATTAAGAACCTAAATCCCAAGATCTAAAGTCAAGTCACGAGTAAAAAATTGTACCTCTGGCTTGTTCTTAATATGCTTTGCCCTGTGTGCATAATCCAGAGTGCTCAATGTTTCCTCCAGACAATGAACAGCAGGTGAAACTGTTGCTATTATGCATGTCTTTGTCCTCCCACCAAGTGAATCGCGTAGTAAACGGGTAAGTTTACTATCCCTAAATTTCAGCGAAAGAAATAAAAAATAAGATTAACCTTAATCAAGTGTATTAGATTAATAACTTAAGAAAAAGATCTTGAACCTGTAAGGAATGTGTCCAAGATGCTCAACCAAAGCATTAATAACTCGTCCCAAAGTAAGAAGACTTTTGTTTATTTCACCAGCTTCTCGTGCACGGCCCTTCAACAGGGAAATCTCTCTTGAGTAAACCCGGTATATAGTTTGACAAGAAATACCCAAAACAAGCATATAAAGAGAAAACTCAATGTCAAATGAACAGCAAGAGATTGCTTACATCCCTAGCACCCGAACGTGATATATTTTCTGAGCCTGCTAAGTCAACCAAGTTGAGCTTCCCACATTTGATAAGTTCTTCTCCTTCTGGAGTGGCTTCCTTGATATGTATTGTGATGGAAAAAAGGGAGTGTGATCGACTGCATGTGAAAATCTTCCATCAGATAGAAGAAAACCTTATAACATCGTAGGGGAAGAAAGGAAACATGAAAAAACAATACCTTGATTGTTTATTCAACAATGTTTCTGCAGTTCTTCGCTTTGCAGAACCTCTTTCAAGCAAAGTGAAAATTTCACTAGCACTAGCAACAATTTCTTCTTCCAATCCTCTAACAAGAACTCCACCCTTCCCATCCTCCATAAGAGGTAACTGCTTCTTTTGTTTGTCTTCCAGAGAAACTTTAGAGATTTCTTCAGGAGCAAGCAAATCGGTAATTTCTTCATTGTACAATTCAAGGAAAGTGACCTTAACACTATACTCGGCTTGTTGACCCTCAAGCGTGTCAAAAATTTGCTTCACGGCTCTAGGAATGACACCTGCGCCTGCTGGCAATTCTCCATTAAGTCCGCTCTGTCTCATTTAAGAATGCCAACGAATAAGCTTCAACACTATGGAACAAATTCTTGAAATGATGAAGGATAAACAGACATACCTTAGCCCTTCTACACTCGCCTTCCATCGTATATGTTTTTCCTGTACCAGTCTGGCCGTATGCAAAAATTGTACAGTTAAAACCTTCGAGGACTTCATTAACAATGGGAACGACGGCTTGCTCATATAAATCCTTTTGCTGCGCTGATGGCCCAAACACCTAAGTTCAACATGTAGACATATTCAGCATCTAGGTTCTGAACAAATTCTGCTTTAAATCCAAATATCGTAAAATTAATATCGGAATAAATATTCAAATAGGCTGAAGAAAATAAATCCAAACATTTCACTAAACCACACAAATCCCTGAACTTGTGCTGCAACAAATACCACATTAAATCTGTGTTCTTAAACACATCCTTGCAGGCAACGGATTAAGTGATCCAGCTATTGGTCTAAAGGATTATATATATATATATATGATAAGAAATGAATTACACGGACCTACTTCACCAAAACGTGTGGATTATGCTTATAATATAAAAAAATGTTTGGATTAAGAGAACTGCTCGTTCACCAAAACGTGAAAGCAAATTTGGGGGCAAAATCAAATGTGAGCCAAATTTGTTAGCATGTCCCTTCTTCCCACAGAAGTTGTGGAGACTAATTAAAACAATACATTGGTGAATCCTAATCTAAACCCTGAAACTAGCTGAACAAACACTTCTCGTAATCTCTGCTGCCAATCTTAATGAAGGAACTGGAAGCAACTTTGATAGTTCCGAAGAATCAGATAGAACGAGAAAACCCCAGTTGAGTAAACCACAAACTTTACCTTATCGAAAGTGAATAGAACGAGAAAACCCCAGTTGAGTAAACCACAAACTTTACCTTATCGAAAGTGAAAACCCTATCAATATGCTTCCCAGCTATATTCTGCGATACAGCAACCTCTCTTTGAAAATCATTACACGTAACAACCTGAGGAGCGTTGTTCCTCAACTCCTCCTCGCTAAATGGCCTACAAACAACGTCCAAAAAGCCCAAAAATTCGGAAATTGGATCAGACCCAACATGTTCGCGGACAAAACCTAAGTAAATCCGCACATTTGATACAGAAACTGAATAGATATGTCGAATGGCACCTGCAACGGAGGAGGACTTGAACATTGACGCCCTTCTCTTTGTCTTGTCGACCGGACATCTTGGAGCGGCGGAACGACGGCGAATCCAGTGGAGAGAATTTACCGATCTGATCGCTTCCACTTTTTCTGTGGAATCAAGCTTTTTGGAAAACCTCTCTCCCTCTCTCTCTCTCTCTCACTCTCGCTCTCTCTCTCTCTCTCGCGGAGACGGAATCTTCTTTGTAGAGAGAGAGCGGGATGGGTGTGTGATTTGAATTTTTTCAAGGGACGCTCTCCTCTCTCTCTCCTTTCCATTTTGAAACGATCTGATCACAACGAATTTACCATTTTGCCCCTCCTTTGCGAGGAAGGAAGATGATGACACGACGCCGTTTCCTTCTCGGGAAACAATCAAACATGGGCCTTATTTTCCTCGGCCCATTTCTGAAATTTGTATACTTTTATTACAGCGTTGTGACTTAAAAAAGTCTATGAAACTTGTAAAGAGTTGTTTAGCAGTTCAAGCTATTTGTATAATTATTATGTTTATAAAATTGTTATATTTAATTAGTGAGTGGATAGAGTATTTTTGTTTGTTTTTATATGTAAAAATAATACGCGTTCGTTTATATCTATGATTTTAACCTATTGAACGAAAAATTAATATAATAAAATTTGAACAAATGGTTAATCTCTATTTTATAAGATTGAATTCTTCGAATTAGATTTAGAAACCAGAAAATGTACATCTTTAAAAAAAAAATCTTGCGAGTAATCCCAAAACCTATAGTGTTTTATCATTAATAGTTTTACATCTTGTTGTCTTTCGTTTTATTACTTTCTACACACTTTATTACAATCATACCTTCTATGTTTTCATCTAGATTAAATTACGGTTAGGAATTTGATTCTGTTGTTTACTTTGTTTATATGTTCGACTCTGGTACTACAGTCGATCCGTATTTTTGCGATAATTGATATACCTAGATTAATTATAGTCTGATTCTATTTTATATATCTAAATTTGCGACATCAAGTTTTTGGTATCGTTGTCAGAATAATTTTAGATTTCTACTTGATATGGATGTATTTTCTTTTTGCTTTTTTCTTTGTTTGTTTTTATTTTTTATTTTTTTGGTCTTTCTTATCGTCTCATTTCCTCTTTATTTTCTTTGTGTAAATGTATATCCTTTTTTCTAGAGTATGAATAAAGAATTGTAGATATTGTTATGAAATCAGTAGAAATATTAACGACCCGGATATTAGATCGTTAACTATAAAACAAAAACTGTATTTAGAAGAACGGAGAACAAGTTTATTTCTTATTGATCTCTCTCTTGAAAGTATACAAATGGAGGAACCCAAATGGCTTATTTATAGAAATTCTGAAGTTACTGTTCACGTATACGGTCGGTGTGAACAGTACCGTATATATGAACAGTAAGTCGGTGTGAACAGTAACGGTGGGCTCCATCATAGATATATTTTATTTATAACATTCCCCCTTGGAGTCACCGTTAGTAAAAACACAGTTGCGTGTTTCGGTGCTGCCTCGTTAAAACCCTTATCAGTAAAACCCAATGGGATAAAACC